CACCTTGCACAGCACGACTGGAAATCACCACGGAGCTACGTTTGAGTGTCAGGCTCCGGCCACGGACAAAGCCGACCGGCGGAGTCTGCAAACAGCGGGGGTCCGGACCTCAGTTTACAGTTCTTCCTACAACTGTGCCTATTGAAGATTCTGTCCCGAGAATGGGCATCCTTCGACTTCCCGGGACCTTCAGCCTCGCCCTCTTCGCCTTCAGGCCATGACAAAGCGTCATCGCGTTTGGCATCCAAGCTCTCGCTGTAACCTCAACCCGAAACCCAGAATTCCCTAAACCCTAAAACTCAACCCTAAACGCTAAACTGTAAACCCTAAACCCTAAACCCATACACTAGGTCACGAGGCCCTCAGCCCAAACCCTGCACCCGAAACCCTGAACTCTCAAGCCTAAGGCCTTACGCCCTGTACCCGCAACCCGCAACTTCTAAACACAAAAAACTGATATCCCCACCCTAAGACTCCAAACGGCCCAAAGTAGGTACCATGTGTAGACTTTAGACCCCAAAGCTGTTTGTATACTTACCCTAAACCCTAAACCCTAAACCCTAAAAGCCTAAAAGCCCTAAACCCCAAACCCTAAAACCCTAAAGCCCTAAAAGCCATAAGCCCTAAACCCCTAAACCCTCCCCAGACTGGGCCTCCTTCGACGTTGCACAGCCGTCGTCCTCATCTCGAGGCCCATCCTGGTAGCACCAGCTTTGCAAGCCCTGGTGGTGGTGGTGTTTAGGGTTTAGGGTTTAGGGTTTTAGGGTTTTAGGCTTTTTAGGGTTTAGGGTTTTAGGGTTTGGGGTTTAGGGTTTAGGGTTTGGATTGGGGTTTGGGGTTTAGGGTTCAGGGTTTGGGGTCTAGGGTTTGGCGTTTAGGGTCAAGGATCCTGGCCATCACTGCATCGATGACGGCACGACTCCGTCCTAGGCTGTAGCACCCTAGGAATCGCCATATCCAGAAAGCCCAGTACCCGTGAATTGAGGAATATACTCCCGAGGTGTGTGCGTGTATGGCATATATATATATATAATATCTATATATATATATATGTAATATGAATTTACATATGTATAGATATATATACACGTATGTTGTGTTGTATCCTTTATAGGGTTTTCTGGGTATCCATGGCTGCCTTTAAGCATCTGGCCACTCGGTTCGGGGCACTAGGGAACTACAGCCACAGTTCGGTTTCTACTAATAGGGTTGTGGGGCAACAATTATACTATCATCATAATAGGGAGCTCCCGAAACCCGATTCTAACTATGAAGGCCCCGAAACCCTAAACCCTTATAGTAGCCCTTATAGACCCCTTTAACGGAACCCCCTATGAAACCCTACATTGCTTTGGTCAGAGAGGCGGTGCTCCATTGTCAACGCCTGCAGATGCAGTGGCGGAGGCAGGCTCAGCAGCTGACCGTGGCAGAAGTACCCATAGGCCCCATAGTAGTTCCTTTTTGGGATTCCCTAATAGGATTCTAAATATGAACCCCCAAAAAAGAACTACTTTAGGGCCTATGGGTAGAGTGAGCTTCTGCCCGAAATCCTTGCTGGGTATTGACATCGTTTTGGGCGTTCGTACTAGAATACCCTAAACCCTAAACCCCTGATGTGTAGGACGATAAAGCGCGTCACCAACCATCTTACAGGGAATTTCGGTCGAAGACCCTAAACCCTTAAAACCCTCAATCCTAGGGTTCCCTAAAGCCCTAAGGGCCCTAAAGCCCTAAAGCCCTAAACTCTAAACCCTAAAGCCATAGAGCCCCTGAAGCCCTAGAGCCCTAAAGCCCTAAAGCCCAAAGCCCTAAAGCCCTAAAGGGTTTAGGGTTTAGGGTTTAGGGTTTAGGGTTTAGGGATTAGGGTTTGGGGTTTAGGGGCCCTAAACCCCTAAGACCCTAAAGACCTCTCGAGCCCTTCCTGCCAGATGCTTTGTAGGGAATGGGGGAATGGATCCCTATGATAGTCCCTTGCGGTCCCTTATAGTAGTCCCTATAACCCATTCCCCCATTCCCTACTAAGCGCCTAAACCCTAAACCCTAAACCCTAAACCCTAAACCCTAAAACCCCTAAACCCCTAAACCCTAAACCCTAAACCCTAAAACCCTAAACTCTAAAACCCTAAAACCTAAAACCCTAAACCCTGTCAGATGCTGGATGTCGATGACTTCGCCTCGCGGGCTTCCCCAGGGCCTGCCACTGGCAGCTCCCCAAGGCCGGACCGAGCCGGGTTTAGGGTTTGAATATAGCTTAAGGCTTAATATAGGGGCCTTAATAAGTAGAATAGAGCTCCGTTAAAGGGGCTCTTAAAAGCGCCCCTTGGTTCCGTGCATCTGAGGCAGCCGGACAGCCTTGGCCAAGCCTTCGGAGCATTCGGAAGAGAGGACGCCCTTTTCTCGCGCTTAGGCTTGTGGTTTCGGGTTTAGAGTTTTTGGGGTTTGGGGTTTAGGGTTTAGGGTTTAGGGTGGAGGGTTTAGGGTTCAGGGTTTAGGAGTCTTTGGGTTAATACAAATTGTTAAGAGTTTGGGTTCGCTGTTTTCGGTTTAGACCGAGACGTTGTGACCGAACGTTTTGACCGAGTTTCTGCTTCTGGAACCTGATGTTTAGGGGCTGGGCGGGGCCCCTAAACCCTAAACCCTAGAACCTAAACCCTAAACCCTGAAATCCCTAAACCCTAAACTCCTAAACCCTAGACCCTAAACCCTAAACCCTAAGCTTTAAAATCCCCAAACCCTAAAATCCCTAAAGCTCTGGCTGCTCCTTGGGGCCTGCCTTTGGGGGGTTCCAACTTAGTTCTCCAAAACCCAACCTTTAAACTTTTTGGGTTCTTATAGCTTCGTAGTAATCTGAAAGTTTAACCTTTTATTCCTCTGGCTTATTGGGGAAGTAAGTCAAGGTGGACCAAGGTGGACCAAGACACGCAGTGCTTATGTTTTTCTTTCATGCTAGGGTTTGGGGTTGTGAAAGGGGTTTAGGGTTTAGTGTTTAGGGTTTACGGTTTAGGTTCAGGGTTTAGGGGTCTTAGGGGTCTTAGGGTTTAGGGTTCAGGGGTCTTAGGGGTCTTAGGGTTCTTAGGGGTCTTAGGGGTCTTAGGGGCCCACCCTAAACCCTAAACCCTAAACCCTAAACCCTAAATCCTAAACCCTAAACCCTAAATCCTAAACCCTAAACCCTAAACCCTTCAGGGTTTTAGTCCCAGCCCCTCGAGATGTGCAAAGCTCGTCACAGGACTTGGACGCAAGCAACGACTCAGAGGCCGCCTTTCTGTGAAACGGAGTCGGTTTAGGGTTTAGGGTTTAGGGTTTAGGGTTTAGGGTTTATTTGGGGTTGCGGAGTATGGGAAACCCTTCTTCAGGGTTTAGGGTTTAGGGTTCCGGAGTATGGAGAAACCCTTCTTTAGGGTTTAGGGTTCATTTAGGGTTTAGGGTTTAGGGTTTAGGGTCTAGGGTTTAGGGTGTAGGCTTCCGGAGTATGGAGAAACCCTTCTTGGAGGGTCGGGAGACTTAGCAAGTAGGTAATAAGTAGACTTATAAGTACCCCAAAAGGGACCCTAATTGGGGTTACAGTACTTATAAGTCTATAAAAGGAGTATGGAGAAACCCTAGACCCTAAATTAAAGGAAACTACAGGTGGAAAGTTTAGGGTATAGAGGGCTTCTATAAGGCGCCCATAAGGTATATAGACCTTCAATGAGGCTCCTATAACGGTAACTACCCTCCTGAAAATGTCCTAGACTAAATCCCTATCCAATTCTGGAAGTTGAAACGTATCATGTGTTCAGGATGATTTGTGCTAGGATCTCCGTTGATTTTCCTTAAAGGGCATCAGGATCGCCATGTTCCAACTTCTGGCCTCTACTTCAAACCCTCAACCCTCAACCCTAAACTTCAAACCCTAAACCCTGAACCCCAAACCCCTAAACCCCAAACCCCTCAACCCTAAACCCCTAAACCCTATAAATCCTATAAGCCTTCTATAAGCCCTCAACCCTAAACCTAAACCCCTATAAACGCTATATAAACCCCTAAACCCTATAAGCCCTAAACCCGTAGAGGCCCGTAGAGTTACAAGACGGGGAGCCACGAATCATCCTGAGGGTTAAGGGCCACGGTGTGACGGTGCAGGATTCCGGGTTTGGGGTTTAGGGTTTAGGGTTTTAGGGTTTAGGGTTTAGGGTTTAGGATTTAGGGTTTAGGGTTAAGGGTTTGGGATTCAGGGTTTAGGATTATGCTTAGGACTTGGGGTCGAGGATCTGGGGTTCAGTTTCGGGTTTTTGTAGGATTTAGGGATTGTTGGATATCTGACCCCCAAATGTACGCTAAGCCCTCACCCCCTCAACCCCTAAACCCTAAACTCTAAACCCTCAACCCTAAACCCTAACCCCTAAACCCGTAAACTAAAAACAGTAAGGCTGACAGCCTGGTGCGGAACCTCTGCGCCCTGGGACGATTCGAAGAGGCTCTGCGCTGCAAGGCACCCTGCGACGGATGACCGGTGTAGGGTTTAGGGTTTAGGGTTTTGGGGTTTAGGGTTTAGGGTTTAGGGTATAGCGTTTTGGGCCTGAAAAGCCTTAACCCTACATCCTGAACCTTACAATCCTACAAGGGTAGTTCTCTAAATTAGCGCCCCTTTTGGCTCCCCAAAATAGTACGGCACCTTATAAAAGGACCCCCAAGAGTACCACAATCATGTATCCAGAACTCGAGATGCTATAACCGACATCCGACCAGAGACCCTAAACCCCTAAACCCTAAACCTTAAATTCCCTAAATCCGAAACCCCTAAACCCTAAACCCTAAACCCTGATCCCTAAACCCCAAACCCTAAACCCCAACCTATATCTTGAAATTGAGATTCTAAAACCGACATCCGACCAGAGACCCTAA